CCTGACCCTGTCCTGCAGGCTTTCCTGCAGCTTGGTCCGTGCTCAGCAGCTCATGACACCAGGGCCCTGTCACAGCAGTGGCAGGAGCCAACCCCAGCCCATGTGTGAGAGCTGGGTGCAAAGCTTGAGGGATTTCCCAAGTTATTGGAATTGTCATTATGTCCCTCCATGCAGCTCCAGCTCACAGCTGACAAAAGCAGAAGAAACCGTGCTGCACCACCTCCCAGTCATGGTGTCAGTCCATTCCTTTGAGGGACTTCACTGACCCTTCACCTTTCCCAGAATAATGTCTCTCTCCAGGGACTAGCCCCACCTATCTACATGCTCATAGTATGTGGGACGAAGCTTCGCCATCCTTGCCTCTGAGAAGCACCTTGATCACACTTCCTCCAAGACAGATTAGTTTGATATTTCAGCAGTCCGTGCAATGTCCAGTCACCCAGGACCATGGCTCAAATGCGCCATTCTCCCTTCTGTCCTCCTCATTCACTGTCCAGCTCTCAGATGCCACACAAGCTGCTCAGAGGGTTTTCAAGACCTGCCCTTGCAAAAGTGGATGGCCTGTCCTGAGTCTTTGTCCGTCTTAGCCTGGAAGCTCCACTGAAACCTGTCCACTATGGATGACCCTGCTGGCATTTGAAATACTGGTGCTATGGCTTCCAGTATCCTGTCAACACACAAGACACTCCAGTAAAGCAGACTAACAGACAAGGCTGTGCACATAAGAACAGAGAGTAAGCAAGCACGCACACACCCCACCCACACAGGGACCAATCTCTTCCCCCATACAGCAGACTGGCAGACAAGTGCTGTACACATAAGAATAAACCAGATAACTAGCCAGCATACAAATTCCATAAAACAAGCACACATTCTACGGGAAAGGTGTGTTGAGGATGTGCTGAGAGATCAGATGCCCAGCCTCGAGCAGAGTTTCTGCTGGCCTCAAAGGATCTAGTTGCCTAGCTCAAGATGGTGTCCTTAGCAGTCCAGAGGAGGTGTCCCACTAATCCGGGGAAGGCGGGGGGAAGCTACAGGCTGTGACTGGCACAGCCTACCAGCTCTGAAAGCTTTTGGCCCCAGAAACAGGCCGATGTACGTGTGGCCTGAGGTAGTGCTGAGTGTGGTGAGGTGGGCCAGGGTAGGAGGATGGTGAGTAGTGGGGGTTGGGCACAAGGGACGGGGGGGGAACGGGACATTGTCAGCTGTCCAGATGCCTCTGTGGCTGCCAGTGCCCTCCTTAGTTCTTACTTCATGTGGATAGTGTTCAAGATTGTGAGTGCCAGACCCAGGGGGTCAGGAGAATGGGGCCAGGTGAGAAAATCTTGGAACAGATTCCAGTGCACTATGAAGGTAAGAAATAATGCAGAATGCAGACAGGGGGCAAAGGTCAGATAAAGCAGCTCTGACTAGGATCCAAGCAACCAGAACCAGGTGACCAGTAACTGGACCAGAACCAGTGATCCAATAACTGGACCAGAACCAGGTGATCAGTAACTGGACCGGAACCAGGGATCCCATAACTGGACCAGAACCAGGGATCCAATAACTGGAGCAGGAGCAGGGGACCAGTAACTGGACCAAAACCAGAGATTCAATAACTGGACTAGAACCAGTGATCCAGTAACTGGACTGACACACCTACCATTCTGGAACATATAGTAGACGCTGTCCCCGAAGCAGCCTGATGGGTATTTTAGGCATGTGAAAGACTCGCCATGGAACCAGGAGCCATCTGAAACTACAGGCAAGAATGCAAACCACCCACCAAGTTTTAAACTACCATGCCATCATCCCACTGGCCCAGACTCAAGCCTGAAGCAGGTTAAACAAGGGGGCCAGCTGGTTATATTAACCCACAACTCTAATAACAAGAGGCCTCCTCCATTTCTTTACTTTTAGAAAATGACCGTCCCACTCTTTCATGCCTTTTCTAATAGAACTGTCTTTAATCTCACCTTCAGCCCAGGTCTCCCCTCTCCTCTCAGCTGCCTGTTCTAACAGGAGCTCACATCACCCTGGGACCATTATGAGGAAGAGGGGGGCTGGACCAGGCCCCAGGAATCCATCCACCTCCGACCTGGCTATTGTCTCCTGTGCAGTTCAGTTCTTTGTCTGCAGGGGACTCAACACCAGGGCACTTACCACACGCAGCAAGGTGGCCACACCACTTTGACAGTCATGGCAGCACTGTGGTGCTGCTGCTCCTAGGGCCTGAGTCCCAGGGCCCATACCATGTGGCTTGCTGTTCAGATGTCTGTGCTGGGCTGGTCACAGCTATGTCTTACTGCACTTTGTATTTGCCATTTTGATTTGGTTTCTTCCTTCAGTCAGTGTTTGAAGTACTTCATCTTTTCTTTTCAACTGTGAGCTGAAGAATACATTGTTGCAGACCGAGGGTAAAGTAGTTATCTAATTATTAATAATGAGACAGACAACAAGGAATGATATAAAACAGAGAGCATAAAACACAGGGGACCAGCATTTCCAATGACTGAAGGCTCAGATTCCAGCTTCCCTGTATCTTTATTGAAAATTATCGGGAAGTAAATAACAAAGATAATTCAATGCAAATGAAGCCAAGATCTTTCTATTGAAAACCTTCCCTTGACTCAGGAGGGAGGGGTCAGCAAATACAATTCAAGAATCTGATAAACCCTTAAGGATTGCCTTAGTGCCTCAGGGTCAATTTCAGCTTGAACCTCGGCTCCCCCACATCCTGAAATAGCATCCAGTTTATAACAAATATTTAGTATTGGCTTCCCATATTTCCATCCTTTTGATTTTATCATAATTATATTATCGTCTAGACAAGTAGGGCTTCTTCTCTTCTTTGATTCATTCTTGCTTGGTTTTGTTTTCTCCATCCTTTACACACAAACAAACAAATTAAACCTAATAAACTAAAAAAAAAAAAACTTCCAAAAAATCTCTATATGATCAGAAGGATTCAGGCTGGATATTCCTGGAGAGTCTGTTTCTATTGTTATATTGCCAGTCCTTGTCAAAACCAGTTCTGATTAATCTCCTTTGTCAGCATGTCCTTTGCCATTTGCTGTCACTCCCCCCCCCCCCGAGAGAGATTTCATCCTGATTCATTAGGAGAAGGGGTGCTGCATTCTCTTAGCTTCTTCCTGCTGGAAAATGGTGTTGTAGGTCTCAGGGTGAAGACCTTCTCTCATTACTCTAAAGGGCCCCTTTGGCAATAGAAACACGTAGACTACTGTGGCAATTGATTTTGGAATTTAGATGTACTGTTATCAATTGTGCTTAGTACAGGTTCATCTCTTTGGAGATGCATCATTTTAACATGGAACTATTGCAGACTAGAAGATACACATTTAACTAACAAGTTCAAAATACATGGGCCAAAAAGTAAAAGAAATAATATTCCAACTAGAGGTTCTAACAGTGGCAGAAACCAAGTTACAGAGGGAAGATAGTTCTTAAGATAAAAGGCTTATTGGCTGGCACTTTGTCTATTATAGTATAAGGGTTAGGAACCACAAAATGGAGAGACACAACTATGTCATTTATTGTTCTTAAATCCTGGACCAACTTCCATTTACCATTGAGTTGTTTTACTGCTCGGAAGTCCACATGCAAGGCAGAGGAGGAATAAAGAACTGCTTACAAGGTTTTCTGTCAATTCCAACAACTAAGGAACAGAAGGAGAGAGAAATAAAGAGCACCACCTTGTCCCTATTCAGGTGCCAGAATGTTGCAGACCAAGGGTAAAGTATTTTTATAATTAATAATGAGACAAACAACCAGGAATGAGATAAAACAGAGAATGTAAAAGACAGGGGCCCAGCGGGGAGAAGGGTGCAACAATGAATGAGAAGAAAAGAAAAAAAGACAGGGGCCCAGCAGTTCCAAATGACTGAAGGCTCAGATTCCAGCTTCCCTGTATTCCTTACTACTAAGCCACCAGAGCTTTCAAATGGATCATAACTAGAGAATAGAACTAAGTTAACCTTATTGAAAGGAAAGACAATATATAATAAGGAGGAAATCCAAATAAAATGATCAAGGCAAAAGAAAAGCACAAAAACTAAAACAACATATGTAAATATTATTACATATATAATTCTGTAATAATAGTAGTAATAATCCAAAAATGGATAAGAAAAAGCTTTCTAGAAGAACCGGTATGGCAAAGTCACACCACTACTCACAACAAAAGTGTTGTTATTAGGTCGCATTGAGTTGACTACATATCGTGGAGACCTATTCTGTACCATCCTCACCAACTCAACATAACTTGAGCCCTTTGAAGTCACTGTGTCAATCTATCTGGTTGCACTTGACTCAGGTTGTTGTTGTTGTTATGTGCCGTCGAGTTGCTTGCAACTCATAGCGACCCTATGTACAACAGCCCTAAATTCTGCTCTGTCCTGTGCCAATCGCACTGTCTCTGACACTCCCATCCCAATTA